CAAGATATCGAACTCAATGCTAGCATACACCTTGAGTGCAAAGTGCCAATTAAATGTATTTGTGGTTCTTTCGAAATTCTTGCGAAGCTTACCGATCACTTTGAACAAACTAAAGAAAGTTTGAAGGGTCTTGTTAGTCATGAGGTCCAATAAAACTCTATAGACGTGTCCTGAAAAAAAAACCTGAAAAAAAAAACTGAGAGCAAATTTTCAGCTTCCTTCCTGAAAATCTTCCACCACTAACAGTAATCGCACGTCTTCAAGTTATCGATAACGACGGATTAGGCAATGTGGACGAGTTTTCGGTTGAGAAGTCCGGCATTGGTAGCGAGATGTACTCCGCCTCTATTGTACGAGTTTCACTTTACTCATGTCATTCCTACATATCGCATTCCAATACTTGAAGGTAAACGGATCATTAGTAGTGGCAGTCGCTGAAAATGGGACACTCGATCGTGAAATGATGGAGAGGCATACGATACACTTGACTGTTCAAGATGCGGGAGGAAATCAGGATTCCGCTACAGTAAGAGCTTTCCTTGACATCGGTGGCCACGTGGCTCATTGTAGCAATTTTAAGTCCAATTCCCAATGAATCTATTTACAGCTTCACGTCGTGCTTCTGGACGTCAATGACAATGCTCCTCGCTTCTTACAAGATCAGTACGCCATGCAAGTGGTCGATAACTGGCCCACAGGCATAGTCGTCGACCGCCTGAAGGCTACAGACATCGACGCTGGGAAAAAACGCTCGCTATCTTATTCGCTTGCGTCAGGAAGTTCGAAAATGTGAGTCGCCAGGAAAAATTTTGTGAGGCGCTGAGCCGGAATCATAACAAAATGCTTAATGAACCTCGGATTATTTTTGTGAAGTGGTATTTTGAATGCCAACCTATTTGACGCTTCACTGCCTCTTTTGAATGGGTGAAGTTCCTTTCATGAACCTTTATTTTCATGGTGCCTGAACTGTCATTCTTTACCCCACCCTTCGTACAGAAGCAGGAGCATGAATGAGAATCAATTGCGAAAGTGTCACTTACGCACGCGTTCCGATAAATAATGAGGTTTTTCCTGAAGAAGAATTCAAACGGAATGGATGAATCAGAACAAAATTGAAAGGAATGCAGTGAAGAAGAGTTAACAAATAATCGTTAGTAGGAAACAAGACCATTCGTCATTCATCTTGTTGTAAAATGCAGGAAAAAATTAGTGAGGATCTTTGGAACCAAAAATGAAGGCATTGGTGCGAGTTGGGCCCGCCAGTTTAAAAAAAGGTGTAGAATCCATCGAAAAATCCAAATCTATTAGGTTGTCTCATAAACAGTGTCGCTTTTTTTCAACCAAAAAATTTTCATCCAAATCCTCATGCTTTTACATCGAATCATATACCATTCGAAAGAGAATTGTCTGCTCTACAAGAATATCGTGTTCTTCTTCCATCTATGTTCCATGGTTTTCAAATTTTAGGCCTGCGAAATGGGAGGTCCCGCCGACAAAAATTGACCAAACCGACAACTAGCTCTAACTTTATTTTCCCTGCGGAGAAATCAATCAATGATGTACCCTCTACTTACTCATGACCTCTTCTGAACATTCCACCCTTAGGTTGCCGAAAAAGGTTTGCCCTGTTTCTTTTCGAATTGGCCGACCGATAAGCCATGGCAATTTTCAAATTGAAATTCTTCCTCTGAAACGCTATTGTTTTATATCAACTGGTGTATCTTTTGTGAGCACTTCTTCTGCTTTATTCGCTCATTTGTTTTGTTTTGATGTTTGTTAGGAATTAGCTCGAATTTTAGGGTGTTAGGAGTAAGGTGCTTTATCCACGAAAGTGACCGCATTTCTTTGAAAAAAATTATCCTGAGAAGATGAGAAAATCAACCAGGCGTTCCTAACTTAGTCATGACTTGTTCTTTAAATTCTACTAGTTTTTCAATGTCTCGGCTATAAAAAAATTTCGACCTCGATCTCAGGTAATGGTGCTTGACCGTCGAGTTCTGGTTGAAAAACCAGGTCTGGAAATGGAATGACGCGACTTGTTGGGAAACCTAATAGTGTAATGTTTAGAAGAGGTCATGCATAAGTAGAGGGTACATCATTGATTGATTTCTCCAAGGGAAGATAAAGTTAGAGATAGTTGTCGGTTTGGTCAATTTTTGTCGGCTGGACCTCCCATTTCGCAGGCCTAAAATTTGAAAACCATGGAACATAGATGGAAGAAGAACACATTTTGTAGAGCAGACAATTCTCTTTCGAATGGTATATGACTCGATGTAAAAGCATGGGGATTTAGATGAAAATTTTTTGGTTGAAAAAAAGCGACACTATTTATGAGACAACCTAATATTAGAAAATGAACGCCTTTCTTTGGCATTAACGGAATCCATCATATACAGGATTTCTCCATTGACGCTTCAACAGGAGAATTGACGGTCTCTGGAGAGCTGGCCGGTGCAGCCCGAGAGCAACCCTACGAACTTGTAGTTTCTTGCCGAGGACGCTGGTGAGTCCGTGTTGGGCGAACTTTTGAGGTTGAGCTTTGCTTATCGATACGTGATGATATAAGGATAACCTTCGTAAGAAAAATTTTGGCAAATTTCGGGTGTTTATACATAAGATTACATAATATTGGGTTGTCCGGAAAGTTTCCGCCGATTTTGACTCTCAAATTCAAAAGCGCATATCTCGGTTCAAACAAAGCGCCTTTGCTCGAAATAAAAACTATTACAATCCCCATACCTTTGCCTACAAGAAATGAGTTTAACTGATCCGGATGTTGGAAGTGCTGGAGTTCTGTGAGCTAAGAACTCGGCGAAGGTCGTTTCACCACCATGTTGGGTTTCAATGCTCAATCTCTCTAAGTAGACCTTCCAGATGGTTGAAAAGTGATAGTTGGTAGGCAATAGGTCTAGTGTGTAAAATTTGCAGCACAATTTCGTAGCTCAGCTAGTTCAACTTGGAAGTCCGAGATGGGGTTGTGCAACAGTGGGTAGAAGAGCCGGCGGCACCCAATTTTCGACTTCTTTGGGCTTTTTACCCTCACCGCTATGTTTGGAAATCTTATGTCGGTTACGCCCAATTCAGAACCAGCCTGTTTATTAGTTTCGTGAAGATATGGTTCTAATCTCCTTCGAAGCTTTCAACATCGCGAAAGACATTTTGAATTACGACTGCACAGCGTATTTTTTGTGGACTCTAACCAAATGCTTAGTTGATATCGCAACTTGCTTCCGCACATTTCCGAGCAAGTTTGAGGGGAAACAAGAAACTAGTGCAAAGCAGGCTGTTGAGTATGTTGTATTCAAGACTTCAAAAAAGTGGAAAAGTGATTCAGGACAAAAAAACAGTAGATTTGGATAGAGCGAGGAACGCGCTTTCAACGATATGGAGGGGTGGCCAAAAAAAGAGACACTTCACTCACATTTCAGACAGCATTAATCACACTTTGCTGAACTCAAATCGACTGCCCCAACTTAGTATTGAAGAGCACATTCCAATCTATCAATAAACGTTATAATAGCTTTCTGCACCAAGGACATCACAAGAATTTGCCATGGGAACCTTGTGCACGGTTCGAGCTCAACTGGTCCTCGACGGATCATGGACCATTACGACGTTATCTGAAACGCTGGTCGGAAGGGGTCTTGCATATTCAGAGCTACTGTCCTAGGAAGCAATCTGTCAGTGAACCGATTAAAGAAATTCGTAGCAGCTTCAGGCTGGAACGATTACGGTAGGCCTTCTTGAGCTCGAACGGTGATGGAAGATGACGTCATATTTTGAGGACGGTGAGGGCAGTGGGAGGGCCTGCTTCTATTTATGGAAGAACATCTAAGGGATATTTGCCGTAAAACTTTCATCAACAGCGGCACCCTGTGCGACGAAAAGTTCGATGATGTGCGCCATGGGCAAAGTGTCTCTTTTTTTTTGGCCATTCC